GCGAGCCACAGTTTGCCGACCACCGCCTTAGACAAAGTCTAATGAGCTGCGGCTCTGATGAGATCAAAGAGAAAGGGAAAGCTTTCTTCTCATCCCTGCCAAAGCACGGAGCGGCCCAAGTGCCCAGGGCAACAAAGACTGGGCGAGAGTAACAAGGAGAAGGTGGGAGGTGGGGGAGAGAGAGAGGGGGAGGGAGGACCTGCAGCTGGACTGCCTGGTGCTCACGCCTCTCTGGCCAGTGAGCCTGGGCAGCAGCTACTTCCGTGACTTCTTACTGGGCAGAGCTGTCACGCGTGTACTAAGGGCCACGAGCAGTGTGGTAGCCAGGACCTCACAGGTAAGGACGCAAGGTGCCACCGAGCTGTCTGTTTCCCTTGACCCCTCGCACTTTGCCCGAACAGAGGACACGAGCTGGGAGATGTGGACATGAAGGGAAGCTTTCAGAGCCAAACCTGACCGCACAGCACAGGAGCTACTAACTCGGAGTCCTACCTGCTCTCAAGTCAATTTGGACCCATGCAGTTTTCTGAAATATTTTAAAATCCTTTCTACCTGCCGTAGAGACCCTGCCCTTCCACGATGCTGCTCCTAACGTGCTGTCGGTGCTCGTGCGTGTCTGCTCTGCATGGAAAACAGAAATCCCCAGGAAGGACTCCCAGCCAGGGAAGCCCACGCCCATCTAAACCAACCTGCGATGGTAGCAACCAGGGCGTGAGTGAGCAGAGCCAGCTCAGGACACCGGAGTAATTTAGTTACCAGCTGGGGGTGACAGAGAGGGGAGGACGTGGGCAAGGAAGGCCTCGGCCCCAAGGCGGACTCGCTCGCTTGTTTCCTTGACGGCAGAGCCGGTCACTGGGATAAGTGACGGCAGTGTTTAAAATCATTGCAATCCTTGTTATGGGCCCCGAACAAAATTTAGAATGCTTGCACAATCGTTAACAGTATATTCAGGGCGCCAAGCAACCGTTCAAAAAGGCACCACTGAGGGAGGTAAGCCCAGAAACAGATGCTAACACTGGGAGTAATCACAGGGGGCGGTCTTTAATGGCGGGGACCACAGGAAGGATCCAGAGCTTTCCAGCACCTTCCGGGAGAACCAGTGTGTGCCAGGACACATCTCTGTTATTGTGGATTTTACAATTCTGAGCCCGGGGGAGAGCATTTCATTTGCGAACAGTCCCTTTGGTTGTGTAAGACATGATATAAGCAGGGACGTGCCCCCCGGGCTCTAAGTCCAGTCTGTTGGTTTTTTCACCTGTTTATGCTTTATCCCCCGAAGGCCAGAACCCCAAAGTTAATACGCCTCGAAAAAATAAAACATTAAAGACAAGACGTAAGTACTCCCCAAGAAGTAGGGGCTCCTTCGAGGCGGAGGGCTGGCCTGTCCATGACACACACACAGGGAGAGCGTGTGAAGCCCAAGGCACCTGCCTGTGCTTTGTGAGTAGTTGCAACAGGGAGCATCTCAGACTAGCAGCTGCGTTGTCAGGCTGCGCTGTTGATGGTCCCCGTCATCTCCACACCTCCGCACTCGTGTCCTTCGTGCAATGTGCCAAGCATCTGTGCCCGCCACCGGCACCGGGAGGGAGGGGCGGTCGGTGTGACCGGCCCTGACCACGCAGGTGGCGGCCAGTGCTAGGGGAGCCAGTAAAGAGAATCCTGATGTAGAAAAACATCTCCACAGCTTCTTATTCCCGATCCTCCCGTTCCCTTTAGCTTTGGACCCATGATCGCGTTCCTATAAAACGATTCTTCTTTATCCCCATGATTGCAGCCTTCATGGTCAACACGTACAGACCACAGCACACAGTCCTCCGGGCCCGTAAACCTGATGTTGACACCCAGCGCTGGACCAGATAACATCTATGGCACCAGCAGAATGCACACCGTTACACACGCCACACGCCGCACGCACTGCCCACCCGCTCCTCCCCTCGCCACAACTTCTTTAAACGGAGCCGCCCTGAACCTTCACTGCCATGTACACTGATGCTGAGAGCACGCTGACAGGTGGGCTGGAATAAACCAAACTTGAAGATCAGCTTCAGGGAGGCCGACCCCTTCATTCACTGATCTGCACGGGGGGTGCTGAGTCCCGCACTCCACACTCCCAGGGTCCCACTTGTCCAGCGGATAGTGACAGGCCACCCGTGAGCAAGTGGCAATGCCACACAGGGTGCAACCCAACCACAATGTGCCATCCCACCGCTCGATGCCAAAACCAAAGCCTATTAGAAACACTTCCATGTTTCTGCTATGCTTGCTTGCTTTCCTTCTTTAAAAAATTGATTTCAGAGAGAGGAAGGGAGAGAAGAGAGAGAAACATTGGTTGGCTGCCTCCCGCACGTGCCCCGACTGGGGATCGGACCTGCAGCCAAGGTATGTGCCCCGACTGGGGATCAAACCGCCACCTTTTGGTGTATAGGATGGTGCTCCAACCAACGGAGCCACACTGGGCGGGCCGGTGTTCTGTTTTGTTCGTTTTTTGGCAGGGCGACCAATATTGGCGTCAAATGTCTCAGGAGCAAAGATGTGCTTCTGCCATCAAGGTCGGTAAACCTGCCTTCACCATCCTTTCCTCCTTGAGGGGGAGGGTGTGAAACAGAGGCCAAGGCCAGGCATTCGGGGAGGGGGCCTTGTGTCTGTGAAAATAACTTCGTGCTGGCAAAAGAGGTAAAACGTATGTCACCCTGAAGGGCCCGATTCCCAACAGACCCTTGGCAGCGGGAGCTGGAGATCAACGCCCCCCCCCCCCCCACCCCACACACACACACTTGGCTACAGTTACCAGATGAACATCAGGGTCAGCGTGTGCCCCAGGAGCACCCGGTGCCGGAACAGGTCCAGGAAACTCCCCGACGCCTTGCAGCCCCTGTTGGCCGGCTGAGTGAGTGAGAACGTGCACTTGAGCTTGCGGTTCCTCTTGGCGATGAGGTACAGAGCCCCCTCCGCCTCGCTCAGTCGACCCTGGGAGTATAACCAACGAGGTGATTCAGGAATGAATCTGAAAGAGACGTCATGAAAGGCTGTATATTCACACGGGCACACGTGACAGGGCGGAGGCAGCTCACCCAGGCTGCGCTCGATTCCCTCACCACCGCTGACTCCACCGCAGGCCTAAAGCCGACGCTCCCAGACACAGGGAAGACAGGGCGGGCGACTCAACAGCTGCCCGGGCTGAGCGGTGATCTACTCTATGAACGGGAACTTAGACACCGCTTCCCAAATAGCAGTGACACCGGTAAACGGTGTGCGGTCACGTTTAAGACCATTTAATATGAATGGCAAGGTCAGACGATAGCACTAAATACTACCAATGCTTCCTGAAGCACGGGTCAGAGTTATGGCCCTAAATCACAGCCAGGTGTTGTTAGAACAACACTGTGGAGATAGTAGGCGTTTTCAGTTCTTGAAAAGCCCCATAAAGAAGATAAAAATCTTTATTATCTCATCAGAGAAAATAAATTCGTACAAAGTGTTTTAAAGGTGGTGATATGTGGTCATGAAGGCAGAGATTATTTGAAGGCCACACATAAAAGTTAAACAGGGTTTATCACTATTCAGTTACTTTTGAGCATTTACTGCTTCAAAAAATTCAAAGCATCTGAGGACATTTCCTGAATCCCCCCAAGATCTTATGAAACAAAAGTGACTTCCTTATTAAGTTCCAGTTACAAAACAGCAGTTCCTTTCTACTACAGCACAACGTACTGGACATCGATATCGCCACTGCTATCTTCCAACAGTTTTAAGACCCATATACATATGTAATTTCAGAGAGGAAGGGAGAGAGAGATACATCAATGATGAGAGAGAATCATTGACTGGCTGCCTCCGGCACGCCCCACACTGGGACCCACAACCTCAACATGTGCCCTGACTGGGAATCGAACCATGACCTTCCGGTTCATAGGTCGACCCTCAACCACTGAGCCACGCTGGCTGGGCATGTATGTCTTCTCCTCCCAGTTCTGCACACACCCCTAGAGGACTTTTCAAAGACAAAACGGTGGCAGGAGCACAAAGCCTTGTTTACTAAACACAACATCAAGTACCTCTGGATCTAATGTGACCTGATTGGCCTAAAATGAAACGTGTGTAAATCACATTGGCTACTGAAGGTGCCTGTCAGTAAGGGGAGTGAATTGGCAACAGACGCCACAGAATTCAGAGCTTCCTGGACAGCCAGTCCGTCAATGGCCATCTATGGAGCCTTCTCATTCTGACCCCAGGGTAGCAGGTGCAGAGAGGAAAGACTATGGAAAGGAAGGCAGGGTCCTTCCTAGGAGCTCTGCTACTGGGGAGGGAATATTCATGTACAACATTGAACTGTCAACAAAAGCGGGACCTGGGGCCTTCTACAAGATCCTGAAAAATCCCTCTACCTCCGTCCGCATTACCACTTGGTTATTATTACTTACACACAAGTAAATGATCAAGTAAAATATTGTTCTGTTGGGCGTTACGTGTGCCGATCATCCGTCAGATCAGCTGGCCCTGGGCACAGGTGAGGTGCTATGTACGCTGCCTGATTAAGTCTTTAGTAAATAGGCCACTTTAAATAGAGGTCAACTATTTCTACTCTATTCATTTCCGTACTTGCTTTTGAACCTGAATAAAGAGCTGCTAGGTTAAAGATCTAGGTGAGTGAAAATTCTACCACAGCTATCCCTCACTGCCTGCCACGGAAGAGAGCTGGGACCATGGCCTGAACATCGCATTTAGCCCAAAGGTTTTGATGATTACAATGAGAGTCTGACTCCTCCAGAGAAACCCTTTCCTTTCAGAAGCCCCTGAACACTTCTGGGGAAGCAGCTGAGGCTGGTGGCTGGCCTTTACGTCGAGAGCACCAAGGTAACACTGTGGGTGAGTCGCTCGTAAACCCTGCCCTGACCGGGGCTCGTCCGTTTACTCTGCGGAGCCCATGCACCTTAGCTAAGGATTCCTCCCGTAGCTGAGAATTTTCCCGCATCCACACGCACAGACCCTGAAATGATACTCATCTGTATGGTGAATAGTTGACATTATATATATTACTATGAATAGGTCTTTTATATAAAAAATAGATTTTTTAAAAATCCTACTCTGTCGCACACCCAGCCCACGCTGTGATCCAGCCGGAAGATCTTTAAGTTTGAGGCATCAGGTTAAAAAGAAATTGGACCCCGATGCCATCATTTGAAGGCTAAGATGCAGTTTTTGGAGAGGTTACTTTAAACGAGGGATACCTGCATTCTGAATTAATGTAAGCATCTCTCTTCCCAGAAGCTGCCAAGCATGGGAGCGCTTGCAGAACTTAGTTCTTCACCCGGAGTCAGTGCAGGCGAATTCCTGCAAGGGAATAACGCTGCTCACTGACCCGCATCCTCTGAAGGCATTCCTTCTGCTTACTGAGCCTAAACTCCGCGAGAGGGAACTACTTACAGAGATAAGAGAAAGACGGCTGTCCCCTGCAGGTTCACCAGCACGGCCAGGCTCCTCCAGGAGCGGATGAAGTACCCCAGCAGGGCGCACTGGGCGATGCCGACCGCGAAGAAGAGGCCGCCGATCGACCCTGGTTCAGGGAAGAGAGACCTGTGACTGGGGAGGCCCGGTCTGCAGACCATTCCCAACCCAAGTCATAGAGCCAGCTCCTTCCTCGTGAGATGTCAGCGGGAAAGAGAAACCTACACAAATATCGAGCCTCAGACGATAAACTGGAAGGGAGGCCAGCAACCGAGTGAAAAGGGGGGAAGGACAGATGAAAAATACACACCCCACGTGGTCCAGGCGGATTTGAAGGCTGTGCCTGTTGGACGGGCACGCGCCTGATCCGTGGCCGAGGCTTGGAAACATTGTTTGCTGTATGACCGGGAGGGGTTTAGGTCATGAGATTAGTGCAATACTGGGACTTCATTTCGTCACAGACGCTACCCCTGGAATCCTTATCTTAAATCACAACCTACCTCCCAATTCTCCCTTTTGCCCTCCCCGACTTAATTTATCACCATCAGATATGACACTTCATATTTATTTTCTTGTCTATCTCTCCCAAGTAGAATATAAGCGCCATGAAGCATGGATTATTGTCAGCACACTAATAGGGGAAAAAACCAACCACGGGATTGTTAAGAAACTCGTATTTTTTAAAAGAAATGCTGGGTGGGTATTAAACCCACCGGCTTGTCCAATATACTTGCAAAGTCTATTCCTCTGTCATGCTTTCCATACCTGCTATTGCTGACAGTACCAGAAGTAGCTACTATTTATATAATAGCTACAATTTATTGAGCAGTAAGCCTTTTGCATATATTGCCCTAGACCACAGGGACCATCATTAGCCATCTATGGAGTGAGGACAGAGCTCAGACGGTTAGATGCTGTAGGTGGCAGGGTGGGGACCCGAACCCGGTCAGTCTGACTGGTGAGACTGCATTGCCTACGTTTCTCTCCCCCATCGCCCTTCTAGGGAAAGGTGAGCTTCTGTGAGCATCCCAAAGCAATGGGCTTTGTTGAAGTTGTTACAAAAAATCTCTACAAAAATCCTGTAAAACAAATGTTTTATTCTGTTCGTAGATTATCAAGCTGTAACTAAAAATAACGACACGTATACTGTGGGCCCTGGTGAGGCAAAGGGGAACCAAAGGGAGAGCCGATGCTCAGTGTTCAGAACATGTGGCCCGATAAGCAGGGGAATGGGCGAGTGTGATTTCCCTGGAAACGCAAGATAATCGATAGCTATTACAGGTTCATTACGGCGCATCCGAGAGCACCTGGTTCCCAAGAATGAGGCCTCTGTCACTCGGATCGGTTCCGAGTGCCAGCATCCACTGACGACAGTGTCGGCAGAAAGAGGTGGCCACAGGATGAGACCTTTTCTTCACTGTACTTACGATTTTCTGAAATGACCTCAAATCTGTTCTGCCCCTCCTGATGAAAACATAAGCTCCAGCCCTAGCTGGTTTAGCTCGTCAGCCTGCGGACTGAAGGGTCCCAGGTTCGATTCCGGTCAAGGGCACGTACTTCGGTTGCAGACTTGACCGCTGGCCCTGGTCAGGCGCATGAGGGAGGCAACCGATCAACGTGTCTCTCTCACATCGATGTTTCTCTCTCTCTCTGTCTCTCTCTCTCCCTTCCACTCTCTCTAAAATCAATGGAAAAATACCCTTGGAGGAGGATTAACAACAACAACAAAAAGGATGTTTTAGGTTTATACTTACACTTTCTTGTAACTACTTTACTTAGCATTTTGGACGTACTGCAAACAGTATTTTGTAATCAAGCGTAATTTTCCAATTATTTTTTTACTGTGAACAATGAGGCCACTTCCAATCCATCCCATTGCTGAGCACTCAGGTTTTCCCCACCCTCTTGCCGGTCAATAGCCGATCTGCAGCCGCAGTGGCGTGCACGAGGGACTGCTGGAGAGAAACCAGCTGGGACCTGAGGGCCAAGGACAGAACCCTGGGGACGGCCCAGATCTCAAAAGAGCTCCAGGTGCCCTGGGTGCGGGTCAGTGGGCGGGCTTTCGGGAACTCTCTCACACTCGCTCTAATTCCACTGCTCTAATTCTACTGTGAATTTGGCAACGCTCTGGTTCCACTGTTGCAATGGAACAGAAATAATCCGAATGATCCGGCAGCGAGGGGGCAGTGAATGCCCTTCAGGGAAACCGACCCTTTCCCAACAATCTGGAGGCACTCTGTGAGGGGGGGCCGAGCTCGCCCGCCGTCTGTGAGGCCGACTTTCTACAGTGGAATTCAAGTGACTCATTCACGGTCAGGGCTGCAAATCTAACGGCTGGACAGAGCACTTCAAGTCCAAGTGCATCCTTACACTCCAGGGTTAAACGGGTTCCCTGCAGTTGTCAGAAGCCGCTCACCACCTCCACATCCGCGTGGACCCAGCAGTACCTGCGAGTGCCCAGTAGGCGGCGCCCACACATTCGTTCAGCAGGACAAAGGCCACCAGGGACATCCCTCCATTCATCACGCCCACCAGGAAGCGGGTCGTCACGAAGAACTCGTATGAGGGCGAAAACCCATTCGCAATAGCAAATAAGATGTCGAGCGCAAGACCTAGAGAGAGAGGAACAGCATTCAGTGACCACAGACGAAACTGCACCTGGTGGGAGGAAACAATCCTATTCATTCGTTTGCAAATGTAAACCTGTGCACGCTGCAATTTTCTGACGGTTTGTTTTAAAAAAGGTTTCTCTTACAAACCATAAACAAAAACTGAGGTTTTCTTTCTTTGTCACAGGTTGATTTCTGTCGATCAAAAATGCTGGTAATTTTTTTAAAATTCTGTTTCAGCCCTAGTTGGTTTGGCTCAGTGGATAGAGCGTTGGCCTGTGGACTGAAGGGTCCCAGGTTCAATTCCAGTCAAGGGCATATGCCCAGGTTACAGGCTTGATCCCCAGTAGCGGGTGTGCAGGAGGCAGCCAATCAATGATTCTCTATGATTCTCTCTCATCATTCATGTTTCCATCTCTCTCTCCCTCTCTCTCTTCCTCTCTGAAATATATATATATATATATATATATATATATATATATATATATCCCTAGCTCATACTCAGCTTGTCAAGAGAGCTATGCTGAGTCCTGTAGAGCCCATTCAAAATGAACCAACAACACAAGATAGAAGGAAGTGGGCCTAGAAGACTGTCTCAATCATTGCTCTCTTTAGGGACACGGCATAAATGAGAATTGGGGGGTGACAGAAAGCACCATCATCTCTGAAAAGCTTCCAATGCAAATATCTGGCCTTTGCCATCTATGCTGGCCGCTGAAAACCTTGGCCGGAATCCATGCTGGCTGCCGCTCGGCCTCTTGCCAGTGTAATGAAAAACAGTTCCTCACCCACATGGCCATTCCCCGGAACCTCGGGGAAATGTGTCCTCATTGGGTTCACGAACACTCCAGTGGGTTACCTGTGAGGTAGACCTTTTTCCTCCCGAAGCGATCGGAAAGCTGCCCGAAAGAGATCACGCCCACAAACACGCCGCTGAAGAAGAAGGAGCTGGCCGCGCTGACTTTGTACGATCTGTTGGCAATCAGAAACCACTGGAGGAAGGAAGAACAAGAGAGACATTCAGGTCACCGAAAAGATGGGTGGACGGAGTTAGCTACTAAAAAAACAAACGTACAACGAAACTTGTGCACCCGAACTTCTCTACTGCGTTAGCCACGGTGAGCCATCTTGTGAGTGCCACAGCCACTCCCAGCTTGTCAGTATATCGAGGCTGTGGGGCTCGAACACAGCAGCTTCCCCACGCCCGGCTGCCTGCAGGACCCCGGGCACTCGGCACCACTGGGTGGGGGCTGTTCTGGGAAATATTCAGAAGAATCCTGATAACAATTCCAACGCCACTCCATTCCCTCACTGTCCTGTGTTACCCCCCAAAATATTCCCAGTTGGGGCCAGGAAAAATCTCACTTCGGGAGAAAACCAGGGGCTCAGAGGCCTCCTGTGATTAGGAAGAACTCGGACAGGGTGTTTCAGGAACAATTTCATGGTGATTAACTAACTTGCTTCATCTCAGTGCAGTTGTCACTCGGAATTACCACTTAATGGGTGAAGTGTGCAGTCTAGAACAGTCAGAAGCACAGGCGTAGGGAAGCAAGACATTTAAAAAATTAGCCCCTCAAGCAATTATTGCAGTCAATTTTTCAATAGTTTTACTATTCTGTCTTTTGACCCCAGGGTATGACTTGGGAAAATATATTAATCTCAAGATAATAATCAGTCAATTTCGGTTGTTACATCTACAATGATATTGAAGATTCCAGCCTGACTCTTTTTGGTTGCAAACATTAATTAAGCATGATAATTGCATGTCTCCGTGATATTTGGTCCTTTCTCAATGAGTCAGAGCTCGGGGAGTAATGTGAATACGGCAGACAGCAATTTGCTACATCAATTCACCCCAATGGCTATTAGCTCATTTTAAAATAGTCAAGACTCCTAAATTAGAGGGGTTTTTTTTTGCATTAATACCAAGTTAATCATATCTACATAACCTTTTATTCACCCTTCCCCAAACCCTCCATGAATAACTCCTGCAAGGCCTGACCTGAATGTAATAAGGTGAGAGTTTTAAATAAGCTGACAAACAAAATAGAACCAGAGGCAGGGATCCATGGAACAGACTGACAGATGTCAGAGGGGAGGGGGAGAGGGATTGGATGAAAGAAGGTGAAGAGAGCAGCCAAAGAACATATATGCACAGCCCAGCCCACGGACACAGACGACAGTGTGGTGAAGGCCAGGGGAGGGGGAGGGTGGGGGCTGGGTGAGGTGGGCAAAGGAGGGGAGGGATGAAGAATATCCGTAATAGTGTCAACAATAAAAAAATAAAATAAATAAATAATAAGTAAATAAATATAAAATGAGTACTCTTAACGCCATCTCAAACTATAGAGTTCTCCAGGCTCTATCTGGATAATTACTTTTAAAAGTTCCTACAAGACTTTATACTCACTTTTTTAATTCTAATTTTATAGCAAATAATTTCAGGAAGCAGCATAGATTCTCTGTGTGCCACAGGTTGTGCATTAAGGATATTTACCAACGTAATGACAAGTTTGGTCCCAGCTTCCATACGGCCACTCTGGGGATTTTGAGGAGCAGCTGAAACACCGGAGAGGTCACCAGAATGGAGTGAACGCTAAGAAAGCGGGCGGGGGCTGGGTTTGGGACTGCACTGCAGTAAAGGTGAACTGGACGGAGTGGCTCTGTGGCCACGGCCCGGCCCTGCTGGCCCTGCTGCTAGGGATCACCGTTCTCATTACTCTTCCCTCTGCCACCATTTCTCCGCCACCGTATCTCTGCCAGCTCCGGCATTTCTGGTGGCGGCGGCAGGAAACTCGGGAGCCACCCATCCCACCTCCTGGAACCACTCCAGGACTTGCAACGCCACCCAATTAGGGCTCCGGCGTCCAAGGCAGAGCTAGAGTGTGTGGACACACGTGTCATTCACGCACTGGGAGTGGGGATGGCGCATGGAGGGGGGGCACCTCACCTGTACGTGGAAATAAAATAAATGACTTGGGGAAACGTGAGATTCTGCACTGAAATGCAAAGCAGACGAGCTCTCCTTGGATCCGCCTGAATACACTCCGAGTGGAGACGGGGCGATGCTGCTACCACATGGGCGGCCGCTGCTGGGATCTGAACACCCAGGCGGCCCCTGAGCGGCACAGAGTCAGCGTTCATTTTATTTCATTCTCCTTTGTTATTTTTTGCTATTTCAGGAAACCTGTACGTTTATTTGGGCTTGACAACTTTTTTTCTAAGTTGTACTTTTACTGTTTTTTTCTTTCATTACAGTATGGCTGGCATAAAATATGTTAGTCCAGGTGGACAACACAGTGATTCGACGTTTATACGCCTCACGACGTGATCATCACCGTAAGTCTAGTGAGCACCTCTCTGCAGTTACTGCGGAATTACTGACTGCATTCCCTATGCTGCACACGGCATCCCCATGACTTATTACTTCATAGCAGGAAGCTGGTACCTCTTAAGTCCCTTCCCCTCTTGACCCATCCTCCCAGCCCCCTCCTCTCTGGTAACCATCAGTCTGTTCTCTGCATCTGTGAGTCTGTTTCTGTTTTGTTTGTCCGTTTGTTTTGTTCTTTGCATTCCAAGTATAAGTGAAATCATACGGTACCTGTCTTTGTCTTATTTCACTTAGCATAATACTCTTTAGGTCCATCTATGTTGCCACAAATGGCAAGATTTCATTATTTTTATGGCTAAGCAGTATTCCTTTGCGTGTATATGTGTGTGCGTATGAACAACTCTACACATATAAATTCGACAACTTAGATGAAATGGACCAATTCCTTGACAAGCCCAACTGCTATAACTCACAATGCAAAACAGAGCATTTAAATAGCCCTGTAGTTATTAAGAAAATTGAATTCATAATTTTAAAACTCCACAAGAAGAAATCTACAGGTCGAAATGATTTCAATGAAGAATTCTACCAAATGTTTAAAAAACTGACACCAATTCTACACAGTCTCTTCCAGAAAATAGAAACCCTTCTTAATGCATTTTATGAAGCTAGTATTACCCTGATACGAAAACCAGACAAAGATAGTACAAGAAAACAACAGGCCAATATTCATCATGAATATAGAAGCCAAAATCCTTAGCAAAATATTAACAAATAGAATTCATCAATATATGAAAATAATTATATGCCATCCAGAGATTCAAGGCTGGTTCTATATTTGAAAATTAATTAGTATAATCCACCATGCTAGAAGCTAAGGAAGAAAAATCACACGATCGTTACAATTAATGTAGAAAATGGTGAATTGATGTGTAGGACAAAATTCAATACACAATGATAAAAACTAAAAAAAAAATTGAATGGGGGGAGGGACTTCCAGGATGGCGGTGAGCAAACGGATAGCTGTGGGAAGCAGGCAAAGGACACGATATTTTAGCATTTTAACAACCAGTACGGGTGCTTTCCAGCTGAGCAGGAGCCCGGCCGGTCTCGTCCCAGGGTTTCTGTCCACCAAGCTGTCCAGCCTCAGCGTACTTCCCTCTGGCTGGCTCAGGAGGGCCTGTCCTTGTAAGAACCACCTGAGCCAGCAAAACCCCACTTGAACCTAAGGCTTCCTGCCCACACCAGGGGGCACGTTTGTACTTGAGGTTGTACAGTCAAGGTGCCCCGCAAGGCCTACACACGGGACTGGACTTCAACATGAACCATGGACGCTGCCGATGGGTCATCCCATTTCTCGCTACTTTGTTAATTTCTGTGTTTTACTTCACCTTTCCAAAGGGCACTAGCATCAAAGTACAGCTCTTTTGGAGTTGATAGCTTACTAACTTGGTAAGACTCGTGCTTCTCCCATTTGTAGAAGGAAGGAAAAAGAATATGCTTTCCTAGAACAGCCTCCTTTAACTCTCAAATTCACTAGACAGTTTCCTGAAGATGTGGCTGAAATTTAAATCAACAAGACAAAAAAGTGGTTCCGTTTGGACAAGGAGACGCCGTGGCTTAGCGATCACCATGGCCGGGTTCTGTTCCACTGCTCCCCGCCCCGGGCTCACCTCGGAGGCGATGGAGGTGAAGCTGCCGCTGAAGTGCACGTGCTTGCGCACCTCGCTGCCGTTGGCCTTCAGGAGCCAGTCCCCCAGCGCCAGGTCCTCACCCGCCCACTGGCTGCCGTGGCTCTGGTTCGGCAGGAGCTCGGCCAGGTCCCAGCGGTAGGAGGGCGTGGCCCCCACGAGCGCGATGAGGACGGCCTCCGTGGCCACGTAGAGCTGGGGGAGCAAACACACAAAACCACCGATGCAGGGAACGCCCTCCATAAGCTCACAGAGCTGGAGACGTCTGTTTCTGGCTTTTGTGGGTTTATGAGGCACAGAAACGGGACACAGGAGAAACGAAGGAGAAAGGCGTTAAGAGGGAGCTTCGAGATGGACTCCTGACCGGCCATCAGCAGCCCCACTTGTCAAGCACCTGCCCCTTTTCCACGAGGACCCTGCACATCGCTGGCTCACCCGTGGGAGGAGGGGAAACATCACCTGCTGATCTAAAGACTAACATGCCCACTCCCCTCCTCCACACTGTAGCCTCAGTTCAGACAGCAGTCACCAGCGGCCAGGAGTCTCTTGGCCTTGAATTCACGATCTAAACATGAGGACTTTTTGTGGCATAGTTAGATGTCTCCGAAAACAGTGTACACACACACACACACACACACACACACACACCATAAGCAAGAGTGCTTTGTTAAAGCAGGTAAGCATAATATGTACTTGACTAAGTTATATTTTAAAATATAGCATAAAAACTTACAATACAATTTAAAGAAATTCTAAATTCCAGGAATAGATACCCCCTTATAACCTTTGGCTGGACTTAACCAGTTTAATCTGCACATAGCTGTTTTCCCTCCACCACCCTTCACAAGGTTTCCGCTGCCCACCCCATGCACACGTGTGCGCACACACGCACCCCAACTGAACACAAGGCCATGGCTTCATGCCACCAGGAGGATCAGTGACACGCAGCTCTTCTATGCCGTGCAGCCTCCATAAAACGGCGCCAGCCTGTCTTCTCGGACACGTGGGGCCATGCTTGGTTTTGCTAAGGTCCGGGAGTCAGGCGGCAGGAGCTCTGACACTGTGTGATACACGCCATGGAA